TGGCCTTTCTTGTATTTTATAAGTTGGGAAAAAAAAGTTAGCGGTCCATGACAAAATAAACAATATATGGCCTTGGAATAAAGTAATGGGTGTACCCAGTAGGTATTATCAGTTTACTTTTCCTTTTCTTTTCCACTTCTGATAAAATGGCAAGACCCCCCCTCCCCCCTCCTTTTTGTTTATTGTATTCTGTGATTTTACAGCTCTCCCACTTTGAATTCTATACAGAACCTACTCTCAACTATTTCCAGCGATGACATGGCCCACCGAGTTTCTTGCTTCCCTAACATACTTTTGATCATTAATTTTAATTAAATTAGATGGACTCGCTTTATTATGCCACTATCCACATACCTACTTTTGGTCAGTGAATTCCATTATCACCTTTCTCCTTTCTCTATCCTTTCCCCTTTCAGTTTAATTGGCACATCATGTGGTATTATGGTCCAGATGGTAGAGCTTCAATTCTGAATAAACATCTGAAACATGCATAACATTTTTAGGCCATGTTCATACCCATTAATCCTTCAAGGACTATCTATTTGGGGAAAATAAATTGATGCTGTTTCGATTAAGAAATGTGCTTAGTTGTTCTAAGCACACAATATGTGAGTGAATCAGCTAGTGCTTTTGGGTATATATATATATATATAAATATCTAATATTATTATATTATTTTATGTTATATTATATTACATATTACAAATGCTAAACATTTAACTTTAACACAATTTTTTTTTTTTTTTCTACTTTAGGTTGGTGGAAGCCAAGAGTCTGTTCGACCTGACCCAGAATCAAGTCATGTTCCACAACGTACTGTTGTACATGTGGGTGAGCCTGAGGCCAGTTCTAGCGTAGAGGAAGCTCATAACGATGAAATTAAGGTTCTCTTGGTCCCCCACATGTGTCTCCACTTTCATTCAGGCAAAGAGAAAAGTAGGCCTCCAGACGAGGCTTCATCAAGCCTTTTTGGGGCCTCAGGTGGGCCATCCGGTGACCACCGGTCTTGCTCGAGCGGCTTTAAAACTGGTGGATGCAACAGCAGAGTTGAAAGGTGTGATGAGGAGGCAGCCTGTGGTGGCTCTGAATTGAAGGCCCTGCTGCAGCAGAACAGTGGTGAGAAAGAGGTCAATGGAAGGTCAGGATGCGATGGGGATGACACAAGCACCAATAGCGTTGACATTTCTTATAAGGAATGCTGCCAGGATAGCAGCAGGCAGTCAAATAGTCGTGTGGGCTCCACCAAGCGTGGCTCTAGTGCTTTGACCTCTCCGACACCATGTGACAAGGACTGGGATGATTCGTCTACCTGTTCCTGCATGACAGGGGACAGCGAAGATGATGACCAAAGAGGTGAACATCAGACTGTAAGTGTTCTAACCGAATGTCCTGGGTGTCAACACACCAGCAGGGAGCCTGCAGCATGATACCTCAAAGTATTTTCAAACTGTTTGTTAATGTGCTTTCTTTTGCAATAGAAATATTCTAGGCTAGAAAGTTTGACAATATTTGTTCCATAAAAGGATAAAGGTGGAAATGAATTTCAAATGAACAAAAACCAACTGAGAATAGTTCTCTTCCCAAGAGCACAAATTGAATGATAATGTTTTCTTTTTAAAGAACTGCATAGATATGACACACCTTTTGATATCTGGCTTGCATAGAGCTGTATCTTCATTGTACTGTATCTACACAGATATTGCTCTGCTCTACAAAACCAAAGTTTTTTATTAATGAAGATGATGTCTGATGAACCTTAATATGGAAATATCAAAACACATAAACAAGAACTTTTTTTTTTCTTTGGTTTCCTGAACTTACATCCCACTACTTGCTGGTTTTCCTATTTGCCTTCAGGGATATTTTCAACTAATTTGTCAGGCTGCTTAAACAAAAATGTTCTCATTGGACTGTGATGATGACGTTATAGTGGCTACTTGTCTTTTCAAAATGAGCATTGTTGCAAAAAAAACAACAAGATATAATAGTGTCTGTTGATTTGATGTTTTTAATGTGTTTTCAGAACAAGGTTCAGTATTAAAAACAAAATTAATAGAAAGTACCTTCACCCAGATACACTGTAGAGTGCTGCCTATTTGAACATGTTTTAACTGGTATATTGTGATCATTTTTTTTTTATTAATGAAGATGATGTCTGATGAACCTGTTAGAAATGCTTTTCTACAACGTGTTGAGGTTTTAAATTTTAAAAACTATTGTGATAATTGTATGAAATTTTGTATTGTGTTTGTGTATGTGTCAAGATCTAAGTGACTTGAGTTCTCCCCTACACTTGATGGCAGACTTTACTGGGATATTATGCTAAGAAAATTAAATTGGCCTAGTTTAGGACACATCTTTGGTTTGTGGCCGACAGGTACTTTTCCAATTGTAGATCAGGATTTCTTTGCCAACCACAGGTAACTGACAACTGCAGGGAAATAGACAATAATATCAATATGTTAGGTTGACAACACCCTGTAATAGATTTATAGCGACAGAAGTTGGTTTTGACTCCTCTTTACCTGTCCAGTGATCCTTGTACTGTAAAGGAAGACATCTATTGGTTACTCAGTTGTATTTGGGCTTGTATGATAAAATATGATGTAAATAGACACAGACATTGGCATTTAATCTTTCGCTGGCAATGACTTTTTTAGGAGGCTAATTACGAAATCGGAATTACATTTTTACTGGAGGATTTCTTTTTGGTCAAATATTTCAATGCTTTAAAGCAGCACATCTTACGTTAATTACACAATGTAACAAAAAAAATTTTTTTCTCTGTTTATCAAAATTTTTTAATGTTTCTTATTTAATTTGTGTATGCTGAGTCTGAATATAACATTGGTTTTTTTGTTGCATCAAGCGTTTGATCATAAAACCAAAAATTCAATTAAACATATTAATATGAATCATATTGCATAAGATACAAATTTAGTTCAACAATGTTAGTTTAACCGTTCAACAATGGTATGTTATGTTACAAAACGTCATGTTATATAACATTACCTACATATATCACATAATGTTACATTATGTTCTAATGTAATAATCCCTCAAAATTAAAAAAAACCCACTAAAAGTGAACAGCAGAACGTGCTTTTCTTTTATGAAGTTTGTCATCATCGCGTATCAAACACCAGATGTAGTCACCCATCATAGCTGCATCCCATCTGCCCTGGTATCTTTTTTCCATTGCATGGATATCCTGGTGAAAACGTTCTCCATGCTCTTCACTCACATCACCCAAATTTGGTCTGAAAAATTCTAAGTGTGAATGCAGGTAATGCAGTTTTAGTGACATTCTGCATTTCATATCTGCGTACCGTATGATTAAGTTTTCAACTAGTTCTTTGTAGTTGTCACTCTTATGATTGCCTAAAAAACTGTGAACAACATGTCTAAAAGCAATCCATGCTTCCTTTTCAACAGCAGACATTTTATTTTCCAGTTCCTTACATGCCAACATAACTTTTATCTGCGGACCAATGAATACACCTGCGGAAATTTTTGCATTTGACATTTTTGGAAACATTTGCCGAATATGCTGGATCGCTGCACTAGCTGGGTTTAATGCTTTGACAAATTGTTTGACAAGACCTAGTTTAATGTGAAGGGGTGGTAGTAAGATCTTCTCAACAGGTACCAGGGATTGATTAATAACATTGTGTGAACCAGGTTGTAAATGTTCCCTCACTGGCCAATCACGTCTTGTGAAGTGCTGGTCCGCAGCCCTGCTATCCCATAAACAAAGAAAACATGAGTACTTTGTGTATCCTCCTTGCAGACCGAGAAGGAATGCTAGCATCTTAAAGTCTCCACATACATCCCATTTGTAACTGTAGTAGTTGATTTTCTCAAACACCAACTTCACGTTCTTGTAATCTTCCTTTAGATGAACGGAATGAGCTACAGGAATAGAAGGAAATCGGTTCCCATTATGGAGCAAAACTGCCTTTAGACTTGTTGTTGAACTGTCAATGAACAACCTCCATTCTTCAGGATTGTGAACAATGCCAATGTCATCAAAAAGACCATGAACGTCATGACAGTAGCACAGTGATTCTGATACTTTATAAAATGATGCAAATGTTTCATGTCTTTTTCGGTATTTGGAGGTTCTGCAGCCTGGATCTAATAAATTCCATTCTTTCAAACGTGATGTCAGAAGTTCTGCATTTGATTTAGTGAGACCTAAATCTCGCACTAAGTCATCAAGTTCTTGTTGGTTAGGGAAATGAGGTAAATAATTTGGTTCCTTGAAATCACAGTCATCATGAACTTCATCCGATGTGTCTACGTCAGAATAATATGTACCTGCTTCTTCGGATTGAGGTGGGTTAGGAACAGGCAATTCATCACTGTGTGGAACTGGCCCAATAGAAGAGGGTATACTTGGATAAACTAGAGTCAGCCTATCCTTCGGCTTTTTATACTTTGAAATGTCAACAATGCAGAAATAACAATCATCATGATGGTTCGTTGGTTCTCTCCATATTCTCGGAATTGCAAAGGGCATTGACTTTCGGATTCCACGCAGCCATCCTTCCAGAGTTGATCTGCAGCTGCCACAGCTGTAGTGTGGGGCCCACGAATTGTCCTGATCTCCCATAGCCATGCCAAAATAAGCATGATATGCCGTAAAGAATTTTGTATCATTGACAATCTTATGTTTAGTTTGTGTCGGACTAATATAAAGAATTTTGTATCATTGACAATCTTATGTTTAGTTTGTGTCGGACTAATATAGTAACCACAAACATAACAGAATGAGTCAGGGCAAAGCTTGCAGGATCTACTAGACATATTCACTACTTCATATAACAGTTAAACTGAAAATAAAAAAAAACAGTATAGTTAACTCATTCTATAATGTTGTAAATGCATCACACAATATAAAAAAAACTCCAAAAAATATTTTATGCTTTTTCTCAAGAAATCTTGATGATAGAGCAAAACCAATGATACCACTGAAATCAGCATACGAAAATTATATAAGAAACATTAAAAAACTAACATAAACAAAAATGTTGTTACATTGTGTTATTGTTTTAAATAATCCTTTCAAAGTTTTTGTTAGTAAAGTACTTTTAGTTCAAATAGCATTTCTTGTAGCTTCAACTGTTACATTTCCATTGTGTTATTTTTTTACCATTGCAATTTGAGTATAACCTGTTTTAATCATGCTTTATGTTACCATTTCAATGTTTAAAATAAAACACTCATCAAGCAGGAAATGAATGTAAACTAAACATTAGGCCTACATTTGAAATAAAAACTTCCTAGTTATTGTGGCTTGTGACATGAATGCATAATGAACAGGGTTTAATTTAGGCTGTAATCTCTGTTCAGAATACTTAATGTTTCCTGCTTTCATGAGGCTGTAACGCATTTGAGTTCTTAAAAGAAAACATTTGTATGTCTTAACTAATTGAAAGATAATGTGCTTTTACATATTTGTTTAAAAAGTTTAATAGGACAAGAAGAGAATTTTAGAAAGAAATGTAAAGATAATTCTCGTTTAGAATAGTAATTTAAAACTATATAAAATATTTGAGAGACATCTTTTTTCAGAAGAACTAATCCTTGTGAAAAGACTCGTTTAGCCTAAACCTCAAACAGAACCGCAAGGAATACAAATGGCATTAGAAATGATAAGATAATTTATATTGGTCCAATCAAATGGAAATTCAGTTTGACTACAATTGACCACCTCAGTTATTTGATCCTTAGCTTTTGGACGTTGTAAAGCCCATACCACATCACTAGCCAACAAGCTGTTATAATCATCTTTCAAACTTTATTCACTTGAACTTTAGTTATTATTATAGCAATTGTTTCTATGTCTTAATGTTCTTGTCATTGTTTCAAATATCAACATACTTAACAATGAAAACTCTTGCATCTTGCATTGCCAATGTGGTAGGAGAATGGAAGAATAGAAAATGGAGTGTGGTTTGGAGGGATGACTGTATTGTGGATTGCGTTTCTTTGTGTGCAGTCTCATTGATGCCACAACCTTTCCTGTACATTCACAAGATTTTCTGTGAGGTGTATACTTGAAGTAATGCCAGTACCTGATTGTCCTAGACATAGAGTTTTTTTTTTTTTTAAGGCTGTGGTTTAAATTGAAGCTTGCCATACAATGTATATATATATATATATATATCAAAGCAGACTTAAATTGAGGTGCACAAGTTTTGTTTTTAATATATGCATGTAATATTTGTTTTGTCCTAAATGAACTGGAAAATCACATTTTTTTTTTAGTATTTGTGTTTTTTGTTATTGTTTTTGTTTTAATTGTGAGAATAATTTTGGTGTCAATCAAATACTAAATTGACCTTCAATGTATATGTAAGTACAGATATAATACATTTGTAAAGCTCAATACTGCAAGGTTTAAGAAGCCTGGTCTTGAGGAGTTCGAACCCTGCCCGCACCTCTCTCCCACCTTTGTGAGATGTTTGGCTTAGAATGTAATAATCTTTATCCCTGGAACATCAGAAATGTGTTTAACAAAGAGACAAGTTTCATTAACATGAAAACCTTTCAATAGGATACAATATTTCAGAAGGATACAACATTTCAGTAGTAGGGTACAACATTTCAATAAGTTTTTCTTCACAAGTTGAATATAGGTAAGAATTAAGAGCATAAAATAAAGCCAAGAATGAAGAAAATTGTAATTAAAGTAAAAAATTTATTTTGCATTGAAATGTCAAGTATTTTCTTGAACACTGTACAAATAATGAAGCATTTCACTACAGTTGCAGTATAGTAACTACAGGAAACCACAATACACTTGCTTGACTATGAAACTATGATTTATTTTACATTTTTATATGCAACTACTTTTTCAGTTCCGTGTCTTTCTAAACTTTTTTTTTTCTTTCGTTAACATGTTTATCGAATTAGACAAATGGGAAAATTTGATTTAACTTATATTATTCTATAGTGCACTGACCCATACTCTTGGAATTATTTTCAAAATGATTTAAAAGCTAACCTAAATAATATATTTTAATTTTTCATATGGGTCTATTGGGATAGATGGATTCATCATGACTTGAGAGGCTGCACAGAGTGGTAGTCAGCAAAATTTGCGTCCAAGGCAAGATACTTTATTGGTGTCACTTAATGGTGTAAGTGCCAGTCCAAATCAAGATACTTTATTGGTGTCACTTAATGATGTAAGTGTAAGTGCCAGTCCAAGGCAAGATACTTTATTGGTGTCACTTAATGGTGTAAGTGCCAGTCCAAGGCAAGATACTTTATTGGTGTCACTTAATGGTGTAAGTGCCAGTCCAAGGCAAGATACTTTATTGGTGTCACTTAATGATGTAAGTGTAAGTGCCAGTCTCTTAGCTGAATTGACTGTTTTGTTTTACTTCATTGACATTGGAAGAAATCAGTTTTATTGATGTATTGTTTAAAGATGTCACAATAAGCTCAACATTTCCTATGACTTGCTCTCCTATGTATCACTTCGGCAAAGTTAAAATAAATGTTTTACAAACATATAACATTGTTTGGTGAAAAAAACAAAACAACCTGTTTTGAGATAATGGCAGCTCTAGAGGTTTCAAAGATCAATGCAATCATTCTTTTACAAGTAATAGTTTAAACATAGTGTTACAATCTTAATGAATGTTTTAATCATAGTATAATATTGTAGACATGATATAGAAGTTAAATACTGCACAAGTGAGCAATTTGTTAAATCACATAAAAAATTTTAGCATCTTTTATTAAGTAAGACATTCTGCTTATTAACATTTTACCGGTTAATTGCATTACAAGATAATTTACTGTGGTCATTTGCTATTCCATCAGTTTCCACTGGATTTGTCTTTTTGTCAATATCATTAAATGATTAGAAATGTTTTCTGAATTCTAAAGTGATTATACATTTTTATGTCAAGTAACTTAATGATTCTTTGGCTGAAAAGCTGCAATTGTTAAATACAGAACAAAGCTAAATGTTTTTTGTGGACTAATCATAGCAAGTAGTACCTTCCTATTGTTATCTGCCTAACACAAGGAATGACTAGGATGTCATTTTGTAGTTCTCCTTAGACCTTGTTGTGGGGTCATCTCTTTTGAGTAACACATCCAATGATTTGTGGGGTCATATCTTTTGGTTACCACATTCCATGATTTGTGGGCTTTGTGGCATTAACCACTTAGCTACCTAGCAAGGGGGCTTGAGTTGAATTCTTATGTTTGTTGAGTACCTAAAGACAGCACGGAAATGGAAATCTCTCGGATGCTCTCTCCCCCTGTAGGTCGACAGAAGAGATTGGGTCTGAGTGCACTGAGCATGCTTATAACATGAAGGCTACACCATATAAGAGTAATTCACCAAATCATCTTGTATTGTCCATATGTTCTACACAATAGATTTGATTCTTCTACATGCTTCAGTGCAGATACAAGTCAACATGCTTCTTTTTCTGGACTAAATAGTTGATTTGAGTGTAAATAGCTTTCTTCATTGTCCCCCCTCATCTTTGTGATCAATAGGTTCACAGGCCATTCAGGTTCAGTGTTTTACTTTGATTTGCTTCATTTGACCATTCAGTGTAAAGATGTTTTCATTGAACATTGTAATAACAGATTCATTCAGTATTTCACTGTTGGACAACACACAGCTATGGAGAAATATATTTTAGAGTTTGTGAAAGAATTTCTTGGTGAAAATGTGATCATTGTTAAGATTTACCATTTTAGTAGAATCTGTTCTTAATAGGAAACTCAGTTGACTTCATGTTGAACAAATTTATGACATGAATGAAGCTGTTAAATGATTAGCATAGATGTTCATGTTAAATTGAGCATAATCCTAAATTCTGACTATTTCTCAGGCTGCATTAGTTATTGGTATGTGAAGTCTTTGGTCAATGGCAACTATATATCAAATGTGGAGGCTCAATATTTAGTGTCCAAGCATTCCTGTCCTGTTTTTTTTTTTGTTTGGGGGGGGGGGGGGGGGGGGGGGGGGAAATATGAAGTACAGATGAAAGAATGTAGAATGTACATTTTAATGACATCTTTCATGTTCCTTCGTAAGCTGTAGAAAGTTGGGTTTTTTTTTTAATTGGCCTTCCTCCATCATTAGTGTGACTACATGTACAAGCAGCATCCCTTACTTATTAAAGAGTGCAGTGTAAAGTTTGGTCACAAAATAATTGGAGGCTAAATGCATAGTACCGATCTTGACTATTTTGTTGGAGATATTGTAAAATAGATTAATTCATTGTTTAAATTAGAATGTAGTCAATGAATTCCATATTTACATGCTGTCTAAAAATGAGTTTAAAACTGTCACTAGATCTCTTGATATCAAAGTTAAAGTTTACAAAATTAAACTTATAAAAATCTCGCAATGAAGGGAAGCAAGCATGAGTATCACTGTATGTCATGTTGTTAGGATCAGTTACCTCTCTTTTTCATTTTGATTTGTATTATTGTGTGTGGTGTGCACACCAGCCATATGCCCCTGTCTGCTAATACTCACATTCTATGGAACTAAGAATACGTTACTTAAATTGTTTGTTTGATGGACATTTGTCAAATTTTACCTCACAGAACAATACCAAAACTATTCATGTTTTCTTTTTGAGGATAAAATCCTTTTTTTTTTTTTTTAACAAATAACATCATGTACATTTTTTTCCATTTTACCCAGACATTATTGTTAACTTGTTAAGAGACTACTTCTAGCATTTATAGTTACACAACATACCATAGAATAAGATTGTACACTATTATAAATATTCTTCTTTGTGATTTGCTACAATACTGTTACCCCTATTCATATTAACAAAAATGTATCAATGGAAATCACTTCCATAGTTCACTTGGTCTAGCTGACTAGCAATAATGCCACATTGGCTAAAACTCATTATTACAACTAATATGTTGGGAAGTTCTTTTCAGTTTCAGGTAGTAAAAAAAAATGTTGAAAATTTTAAAATTTATCACTGGACACACTTTCTTGATTAAACATTTGTTGTCATTAAATGGTGTCATAAGATTTCTAAAAATCCTGGATAACCTCAACTACTTGTTTAGCACTTGGAAATTTGTATAGAAGAAATGTTTTCTCTAATAAGATGATCATTGGGCGATATATATATATATTATGATAGAAATGTATCAGGGAAAACAATCTGGAAGAAAAAATGTATTGTACGTTTGAAGAACTATCAGAGTCCAACCTTCTCTAATGGGTACCTGACTAGTTGGGGAAAGTAAAGGCTCATCAACCATTAGCCAAAGAAACAGATGATCTTAATATCATCTGGCCTAAAGATCACTAGGTCTGAAAGGGGGGAACTTTAAGAATTATCTGACTTAATGGACAATTTATTGGAGAGCTTCTAAAAGATGATGTAATTTTTTATTTTTTTTTGCTTAAAACAAATTTCCGTCTAAAAACGTCAATATATTTACTTCCAAACTTTTACCTTCTCTAGTTTGTGTAGTTGACTAGCCATGATAAGCTATTCGGCAACTCTATTTACAACTCGGTGTTACAACACACACACAAAAAAGCCATCCTTAGCTGTTAGTGGCAAAGTTGTGGTTAATTTTAAAACACTGACAAATGATCAAGTTGATTCCACAAAGAAAATGCATATCTCTTTATTGTGTGTGGAAATGTGTGTTGTTTTAATTGACTTTTGATTGGAGTTGATTCATGACTTTGAAGGCGTTGATGACTTTGACTTGTATTTGACTTCAGAAGTCCTTGCTCAGTTCTGTCGATGCATTGGAAATAAAATTAATTCTCTCAAAACAGATTTATGTACTTGTTCATTGAATTTTTTCTTGGCAATCGTAAATCCATGCTTTGGCTAGGTTTAAACTCGAAATTCACTGTACCGGCATTTAACCTTTTTTTTTTTTTAATGAGGTAAAATTAAATATAAAATTGCCAACCTATGAATGAAAGGGTGTAGAGCGACCAATAGGTGCAACTATCACTTTGCTTATATTATATTAATTAGAACTGGGTTTCCCAAACATTGTCCTACATGGAACACTTCTCACTTTCAGAGTAGTTAGCGGAACACTTTGCTTAGTTTTTTTAGAGAGATTAATTCGTGTGATGGCCTACTAGTTAATTTTTCAAGTAGTTCGTGGAACACTAACACGTGGTTATAAAGTAGAATGCTTATTTCTCATACTGTATTATATACATATATATATATATACGTACAAATGCTCTTACCTTAGTGTCATTAGAGCATGGAACGGGTTGCCTGAATCAGCCAGAAAAACCAACGACTTGGCTGAGTTGAGGTCTCTAATTAACGACTAGATATGACACATGGATCTACGTAGGACGTATTTATCTTTTTCCTTGAAGGAACATCTATCAATTATAAGATACAATAGTTAAGAAAAGCATTTAATAATCCAGATTGGTTCCTTGCTTGCTGGGCTGTGACTGAGCCGAGTAACGTGACTACTAGTTAAGGACTCTTTTTAAAGTTTTTAATGAAAAAAAAATACACAAAAGTAACTAAAATCAAGAATGAAAAAGAAATACACACTATTCTAGTGTCAATATGCTCAAATAGCTTTTGATTTTGAAAAAAAAAAAAAGGCTAAACTATCATGTTTTCAACAATAGAGGAAGTAACAGTGCGTGATATGATTAAAAAAAAAAAGATGATTGGTTTTGTTATCTTAATAATTGACTAATTTGTGGTGAGAGCAGTTCCATATAGCTGAATGACCAAACATCAGAAGTTGACTTATTTAAATACCTTAAAGTCAAACATAAAGAGATTGTGGATCACTAAAAGAGAGTTTAAAGTACAATTTTAGGTTGGTTTACGCAATCATAAGTAAATAATGAACAATCTATCAGAGTAACATCAGCTTTCAAGTAAAATTAAGAAAACTGTATTCTTAGTTGGTGGTTTCTTTACATTGACATGATTGTGAAAGTTTGACATTGAACGCTGAGACTGAAAGATTCATTCAAGCCTTTGAGAGAAATTGCTACATAAAATGTTGGGTATAAGAGACCAGGAAAAGAAAAAATAGTTTGTACTCTGGCTAGCAAAAAAGAAGAAAATCTTCAATATTCGAGACGAAAGTTGAGCTGGTTTTGTCATATTGTAAGACATGACTTACTGTCAAAAGTCATCCTTCAAGCTTTAGTAAAAGTAGAAGGAAGAAAAGGCCGTCCAAAGAAAAGTTGGCTGGACAGAGTGAAAGAATGGACCAGATTCTCTCACTTGATATCCTGCTAAGGACAGATGCTGACCGGGAAGTATGGAAAGATTTGGTTACGATGCAAGCCAAGGGACAGATGAG